GATGTATGCAATGCAGTAAAACAGTGTGTACATGTGTGATGTATGCAATGCAGTAAAACAGTGTGGTACATGTGTGGATGTATTGCAATGCAGTAAAACAGTATGGTTGGTTCCCGCCTCAAGTGTCATGGTGTACCAAGCCACAAGAGGCCGGTAACTAGTAACGGATCCGGCATTCTGATTGGTCCATCACTTTCTCGCTGCTTGCTCCATTTCCCTTGGTTACCTAACGTCAGCGCTTACACTCGTGGCCGTTCAAGGTTTCCTTTTACTTTCGAAAGTTGGGTGAATAAAAAAACTGTTTCTTTTGTTATAAATTTGCACAGAAACAGTGAGGAATGTCAGAAACATCTCAAATATGTAAATCTAAGCAGGCAGTACATGTATGTATGAGCATGGCTTTATTGTAGTATTACAAAGACGATTACGCTGAACGAAACTTAGAATGTTTTCAAATTATGTCACTCAGTCATGTGCCTTCCGGCCAGAAAACTGGCCCAAATGGAACAATATGACGATTACTACCGTACTTGACTGCGTTTGCGCCCAGGGGCCTCAACTCAGAAAATCATGATTTATTAGGGGTGGGCGCTTACCCGAGCACCCCCCTCGAAAAAGAGTGCAAATGAAAAATTTGATTCATTAAGTGACAGATTACGTCTTTGAGGGAAAATCAAATTACGAAATTAGTTGAGTCGTCATTGATTTTTCACAATGAAGAAACAGAAATGATCACAAAAAGTATGCATTTTATTACAATATTAATTATGTACCACCAGAATTTACAAAATTAAAAACATTTGAGTCTGTTGGAACACAGTCAAAGTCAAAATTGTCATATTAACTCCACTGACGAAGGTGTTGGATTGTAGGCAAACTTTCGATGAAAATCACTTTCCGCCATGATGCATTTGCAGATTTGACCTGCAGCAGCGTCCTTTGACCCAATGGGTCAAGTTGGTTATTACCAATCAGAATGCTGTGTTGTACTGGCGAAAGACTTTCCGGTAACGCAATGTGGAAGTGAATTATTGATGTCGAAGTACAATCTATTGGAATTGATTTCAGCGAATAAACCACATGGTTTTTCCAAAAAACTAGTAACTAGCCATTTTTGAGAGGTAAACTGAATATTGCATGAAATATTCACCACATTTTACTTGTAATATCAGGTCATTGTCGAAGCATAGTTTACGCACAGTTACTCTTGTTCTACCATGGACGTACTAGTACGTCCATGGTTCTATGCATTCACAACATGTTTACAGTGATTGATATCCACGCTGTATCATATAAAAACGATTACCAAGATTCGTTACGCAAGACCAAGTTTTAAATTAGTTTTTGAAATTTTGTTGGGGTGGACGCTTTGCCGAATGTGACTCCAAATATAAAAATTACACAAAAGTGGGGGGTGGGCGCTTGCCCGGGCATGGGCGCCAACGCGGTAGAGTACGATAGTTACCTGCGTCTTACTTGCTATTTGCAAAGGACACTGGGAACCAGCGAATAAAACAGTGTGGTACATGGAATGTATTGCAATGCAGTAAAACAGTGTGGTACATCACAGTCCCTCCACAACCGGTTATGAAACGGTCAGATATCTATTGTTACAATGCATGTTTCGGTTAATCTGTTGCTTTTTTAACAGCTTAATCGTTGTTTATTTTGCTAGCGGTAAAATACAGACGTTCTGCCATCTTTCCCCAACATTAACATAAAATTAGCATATCCGATGATGTAATTTCTCCCACAAAGCATTGCGTTTCTTTAGTGCGCATGCATACTTTCAATGTTTTCATTCGTGTCAACATAGTCTTTACCGTGATCGCTCTAAAATATTACTGTAATGTGGAAATTTTACGATGATTTCGTCGATTTTGACGATGAAAATGTCGATTGGGCATCAGATTTAGAGGAGGAAAGCCGTGATGTGGAGTCTGATTTAGATTACGAGCCAACAGTGGATGAAGCAATGACGGGCGGAAATACAAAATCGCTGTCGTTTCAGGAAACAATATACACAAAATAAGAATAAATGTGAACAGAAA